GGGGCAAGTAGCGAAACCTCGACAGACATTATTATTATTATTATTACTTGATCCAATACCTGCGTATCAACCTGACTACTAGATATTTGCTTCGCCTACTCGGTTTTCAAAAGACAATAAGACTGCACCCACACGCATATTTATCGAAGGCTCTTCTTAGCCTTCCAGGAAGGGGACTCTGTAGTGACAGTGTCAACCCTTTCCGCTCATGTACCTTTTCCATCTTCCGGACCTTGTTGTTTTACCGGACCAAAATTACCTTGTTGGTCACGGCACCCTGACTTTCACTTTCTGCACGCTTACTTACCTGTACGCTTCTCTCTCTACTCTCCAGCTCATAACAATACAACAGTCGTTGAGGTTTCGTGATATCAGTCGTTCTGCTTTGGTTTGTTACCTCGCCCGTTGTTAGACGTACGACTTCGCGGACATCATCAACACCGAGACTAAATATGTGACGGGGGAGTCGTATATCGACCAACTTGGACAGGCTCAGCCACCGGCGTTTCCAGGTCTTGCTTCCCATTCGAATAGGGTCGCATCCCAATTAAACGTTTTTCTAATCAGGTCCTGCAGCTGAATCTTGCCCAGCAGTAGCCACAGTGCGACGAACCCAATGGATCGTAAAGGCTGACCAACGAAGACAAGCCGTCTTCTCAGATAGCTGGAGTTGGAACAAAATTTTGTCCTTCTCCGAATCCCATCGCACACCAAGTGCTCTGTCCGTTGGTAACGGACTCCCCTGCAAGTCATCGGGCATCGGAATCCTCATGGGTTTGCAAGGATTTTCAAAAATTCAACATGAAATACGGTGGGCACTGCTGGAGTAGATCCTTTCGCATGCGCTTGTGCAGCATGAAAGGGAACCCACTCTGTTCCGTTTCAGCCAGAGGTCCTAAATACTTGACTTGGCTGTTTTTCTAGCAAGGTCAGATGTCGTTAGTCTCCGGATAGAGGTCCCCCCAGGCGGAAGCGACCACGAGGCACGTCAGTTAATAGTAATGGCACAGTACACTAAGCCAGGGATCAAAATGGTTCGTTTGTTTGGGAGTGTACAAGAAGAGAGTCTTCGAGAGGCAGCGTTAGGTTTAAGCTGGGAACCGTCAACAGCTGAGCCTACCATCGAAGAGAGGTGGACTGCAATTAAAGACAGTTTGCTGAGGCTCACCGAAGAGTTTGCACACCTGAAGTCCAGGAAACTCCAACAACGACCACCATGGTGAATGTATTTCATACTGAATTTTTTGAAAATCCTTCCGAACCCATTATGATTTATGGTGCAATAACTTCATCTGTGTGTTGCTCT